TTTTGCCTGAAGCGGAGGCCAAAAACGCGATTTTCAGAGGCACACAGAGTGCGTAGAGGCGTAGAGAGACTGTGAGACCTAATCATGGAGTGCTACGGGGATGGCTGTGTTGCTGTGTGCCTGTTGACGGCGTCAGAATGTCATCAGTGGGGCGGGAGTTGGAGGCCGTCCATAGGGAATGGAGGTAGTGTGAAGATTGGGGTTGTGGTGAGGATGGAAGTGGTTTTCAGCTGAGGTCGTAGGAGAGGTCCGGTCGCGGGAACGCGAGCGGTCCCGGTGGAGAAGATCGTTGTTGGCGGGTGACATGAGGTTGTGGCGGTGGAAGAAGAAGTGCTGTGAGGAAGTTGCTTGTGTGTGGAGGAAAGCGGGCGGTTGGATCCAGGCGATAGTGGCCGGGGTGAGCCAGGCAGGAACTGCAACAAGCGGCGACCTTGAATGAGGCCGAGGGTCAGCGATCCCAAGCGGAAAAGGGCATTCCGAAATTGAAGGAAAAGGCGGTAAACGTTTTGATCTGTGAAAGAACTTTGGCGTGGCATGGGATCGTTCACGATGGGGTGTTGGAGAATGCCGGTGACCAGAGTTTGTAAGGTGTTCAACATCCAATGCAGGAGGAGGAGCTCGGGTTGGTGGGTGGGTCACTGATGGTGCCAAATACGGCGTAGGGTTGCCTGGTAGGTTATAATGCGCTGCAGGAACCGGTGGTGGGGGCGGCTCGCGTGGTGTGGTGTCCGGCTTAAGTGCAATACCTGATGTGGGATCATCCCTCTGCTTCCTCAAGGGCACGGATAGTGGCCATCAAGCGCTGTTCAAAAGTGGACATCAGGTACGAGTGAGCTTCGAAACACAAAACTGCAGTGAAGGCATGAAATACACAGAGCCATGTCTGTCCTGACTGGTGAAAAAAGATTCAGCTACATCATAGTGTGGTGACTGAAATCAGTGGAAAGCGCATGAAAATCCGCGGAGAGTTTTCCGGAGGCGTGCCGTGAGAGCTGGGGTGAAACATGATCACAGAAAATCCGCCCGCGCCGGAGGTGCCGAGGGCGTTGTGTAGGCTCGCGCATTTTTCTCCTAGAAATGCTGTGTTTTTCAATTTTTTGAAAGCTGACCAAAATTGGACCAGACGTTGGCGATGCCGGTTATGCCGGTCGGGACAGATCGCATTATTGACATCGCAGACGTCTCGGCAAGCCAAGGGCACTGCACTATGGATATGCGATGCCGGTTATGCCGGCCGGGGGAGACTGCGTTATGGACATCGCAGAAATCGCAAACGTCTAGGCAAACCGCGGGACACTGTACGATTGATATCGTGGATGTGTTCGGTCTGTGCACAGGTTGCGATCTGTGCGGGCGGCTTCGACCGCGAAGCGGTGTGAATAACCACCGATGCTCCTATCTGTGAGCTGTTCATCTTCACTAGCAGTAGCGGCCGGCCGCGCAGCTGCAGCAGGAGGTTCCGGGTGGAGGAGAAATCCGGCTCAGAGAGTTGTTGGGGAGCAGTGTTGGCCGGAGATGTAGGAGAGTGCAGTATTGCTGGAGAGTGTGCGGGTGGAGGAGAAGGTGTAGGGACTTGTTGATCCATGGAGGTCTTGAATCTCGTTCCAACGAGCTTTGCACTGTTCCACTGAAAATCCCACCCTTCGGGCGACGTATGTCCAGTTCGGACGAAGGTGTGGATCGGTTTTGAGTTCCACGAGACGACATTCGGCGTCTGCGTCCCAATCATCCCAATTTGCATCAGTGTGCAGGGGTGGAGGTGCTTGTCGTTTGGAGCGATTGTGACGCCAAGGTGGTGGAGAGGGGAGGGTGTGTCGGGAGTTGCTGGACGATCAGGAAACGGAGGAGAATGCCGTGGACGTGGAGGAGGTGTGTCACAGGAGGAGGTGGAAGAGGGAACTGGGAGTGGACGAGGTGGAGGTGTTGGCAACGGTGGAAAAGGACGGTGGAAGTGTGAAGCGACTTGTCCAGTGTGGATCAAGTAAGGTTGTGAAGGTCTCCCACATGTCGGTGGCTTGCTGCAAGAGATGGTGAAGTTGTTAAGAGCCACTGTAGTACGTTGAATGAGACCTGGGAGGCCTGTGTCGTGGTTCATTGCTTCTGGTCTAGTCGTCAGCGGCGGCGGCAGCAGCGGCAGCAGGGACGGCGCGACACTCATGAAGCTGAAAAGATCGAATTGCGCGCAGTGTGGCGTTGAATTCCATGGAGCCACAAGGATGAAGTTGGTGGAGGTCAATTCTGCGAACAAAACCAAGCAGAAACTTCCAGTCAAAAAGGTTCACATCAACAATCTCAACCGTCTCAAGCCTTCGGAAGATAGCCCTGAAACCTTTGGCAAGTAAGCTGCCTCATGTACTGGTATACTGGCTGTGGATCAAATTGGCGGCGGACATGCATGGAATTTGAATTACGCGCAGCGGCGTGCACAAACGACAAGGATTTTCCTTGGAGCGGCTGGTATGTGTGGTATGGTGAGACAGGAAAGGTGAAAGTAGGCCGGTGAGGTGGAGTGGAAGTAGAGGTGGCAGTTATAGGAGGCGTGGCGTTGGCCGACCATGCGAGGCCTTTCACAATCGCGTTGCGAGGGTGGATGACCCAACACCGTGCGTTGTGGTCCTTGAGTAAATTTGGTGCCCGCCCCCCAGGCTAGGAGGGAAACCATCACGGATGGGTGTTCTTTGGCGTATTCCGTGTGTTGTAGAGAATCCGGGCTTGTTCACTGGTGTCATGTTGGTGTTGTTGGGTAATGCGCACGCCTTGCGCAAAGAAGCCGGGGTTGTGGGAAAAGTGAAGAGTGCTAGGGAGGAATCTGCCTTGTTGTAGAATGCTTGTGATGTTGCCCGCAGGGCCAGTGTGGCTGGCGTTGAGAGGCGGAGGTGGCTCGAGTGGCTGCAGGTGGAAAGCGCCGGTGCGCTTTGTGGGAGAGTGAGGGGATGGAGATGTGGTTGAAGTGGAGAAGGTCATATTGTTGGGATGTGGGGTTCCACTTGATGTGTGAATTGGCGGTAGTCGCGCACGTCGTTGTAGGTGTGGCGAGGTTTGTTTGGAGTGTCGAATTGTGCCGCGTGATAGTCCATCCAAATTTTGAGCTGTTCTTGTGGGGTTTTCTGGCTGAAAAGTGGTGGAGCTTGCCATTTGTTGGGGACCCGGCGGACACTGGGATGGTGGGGGTAGTTGGTCTGTGGATTGGCCGAGGCAGAGTCATGTTGTACGAAGTCTGTGTTGGGAACCAGGGAAATGAGGCTGGTCGTGAGTGGCTGCGCGACAGAGAGCGGCTGCGTGAGTATGAAGAATATGCGTAGGAGGAGGAATGGTGGCGGCGTGAAGATGTGTGAGTGTGAGAGCTGCGTGGAGTTCTGTGGCTCGAGTGGCGTCCCGAGTGGCCTCTCCGGTGGTGGTGCCGACGGCGTCGGCGGCCATGCTGACGGCGGCGGTGATGCCGTCTGTGTGTTGGATGTGATGGTGGTGGGTCTGTGGGGTGTGGTATCTGCTGCGTCGGATTGCGCTGATCCTGCTGGAGTGGATGGTGGTGGCTTGGTTGTGTCTGTCGTGGCTTCGGTGGAAGGTTGTGATGGAAGAGCGGGAGGTCCGGTAGAGTTCAGTGAAGCTGAAGCGGTGGCTGGTGCTGTGGGTGCAGGTGCGGCTAGCCGCTGGTGTGGCGGCAGCAGCTGAGGGGTCTGATTGAGTTGAGTCTTTGTCAGCTGGTGGGAAAACTGAAAAGGGTTGTTGTTGCCAGACACCTTGCTGCGGGTCCCATGAGAGAGTGGTAGCAAGCTGTGTGGGTTGATTGGGTGGCGAAGGAATTGTAATGGGTGTGGGATGTGGTATCACTGTGGGTGGTGGAGAGGAAATGGGCATAGTCATAGTCGCAGGTTCCGGTGTGGGAAAGTTGTAGGTGACAGGAAAGGTAGGTGTTGAATGTGGAGGTGGAAGAAGAGATGGCGGGAGTGTTGTCTGAAATTGAGGTGGGACTGTAGGTGGCCATGTTGGCTGTGGTGGCATGGTTGCTGGAGGGCAGTGTGTAATCGCTGGTGGCAAATGCTGTGGGATGGTGGTGGAGTCGGTTGAGGTGGTGGTGCATAAGGATACGGCCAAGGAAACCTGCGGTGGCAATCGTCTGTTGCAGCTGCAAGTATGGCGCCAGCGCAGCGGATCCGCAGCTGAAAACAGGAAGAAATGAACGTCGAAAAAATGGAAGTCAAGTTGTGAATGACAGAAAACTGCATGGGAGGAACTTAGTGAAGTTGGAGCTGGAACGTCCCTGGTCATAAACTGGTCAGGGTTGAGAATGTGGTACTGTACACGCTTGAAATTGAAAGCCAGCTGCGAAAATCATGAAACACATGCAACACAAACATGGAAGTGGAGTCCGTGAATTCCGTGAGCCCGGCGGCGTAAAGTGCAGAGAATACAAAGGTGAGACTAAATCGGTTAAGAGAATCAAAAGTAAGGTGGAAACGGTGAAGTCTGTTAGTGAAAGCAGCGCCTCCTTGCGGAGGATCACACCCAGCGCCCAAGTGGGACGACTGAGCGAGTCACACTCTGACATTGGTTTTCAGTTAATTCAATTCCCAACTTGGAAAAAAAGCGATGGAACCGCAAGGTGAAGTGTCCAGGCATTTGAAGGTGTTTGAACAAATTGTTTTCAAGAAGCTCGCAAACACTCTCGCGGAAAGCCGCCGTGACTGATCAGCAGCGGTGGGAAAAGTTTTGGGGTCTATCGTGTGAACAACCATGGAAGCAAACCACAGCGCAGAAAGATTGGAGTAGTGTCACGCTGCAGGTACAGGATCAAGCGTCCTTGACCCCTTCCCATCTGTGGTTGTAGCTTCGTTGCGTGCAGTGGACCACAGATGCTGCACGCCGAACATGCCAACGCGAGCAACATTCTGATTCTGATTATGTCATTTTGTCTGACTCTTTAAGTGCTGATGCAGACTTTCACATTATTCCACACTCGACCAAGACACATATACATCATGAGATGATTCGTTCTCCAGGTCTGTCGGTCCATTTCATCCTTGGCGACATCTTTAAGATTGCCCTTTGTGAGCTACGAATGCGCCTCGCCGGACTTCAGTGACACCATCGCCTATCCTGCATTGGCCCGCATGGGTACGGTGACCACTCCGGGTTTTTTGAACACGGTTCAAGCCTTGAAAGCGCAGAACGATTGGAAGCATCTCTTCGTCATTTCGGGTGACCCCGCCTACTACCAGGTGGAAATGGAGAGCTATACCCAGAGCTTTCAAGACATGGGATTCAGTGTTCAGACTCTCAGTGCTTATGAAAACCGTTGGAACGACATCGAGGGGCGAATGGCCACGGTGAAAGGCAGTACCAGCGGCATGGAGCGTGTGATCTTGGTCCTGGGTTCTGAAACCTTCTTCCGAAAGTTGATTTGCGCGTCCATCACCCAAGGACTTCAGTCCGGGATCGTTTGGCTGTCCACGGGCACCTGGAGAGGTGAGTGGTGGAAGAAGACGGACTTGCTCACATCAGCACACAGGCAATGGCTTCGAGAAGATGTGTTGGGTTTGCAACTGAAGCAAGCTTTTGCAGCCCTCAAGAGTGCCTGGGATGATTACTCACCCAGTGTGGAGACCACACGTCAGGCATTGATTGACCTCTACGTGACAGACCAGAAAGACGAGCTTCTGTCTGTGGAGGGAACACAGAAGTATCATGAGGTTCACGTCCAATATCATCCAACCTACAGGAAGAAGCTCTATGATCGTGGGTACTACGACATTTTCTTCTTCAATTTGGAGGGCGATTTGATCTACTCGGTCTTTAAGGAGACTGATTATGGCACGAACTTCAAGGCCAGTGGCTCAGGACCGTGGAAGGATTCAGGTTTGGGGCAAGCCTTTCGAGGAGCCTTGCAGGATCCTGACAACCTTACTTATATCGATTGGCAGCCCTATGGCCCTAGTGCAAATGCTCCTGCTGCCTTCTTCTCAACTGGTTTGAGGGATGAGGATGGCGTGCTCGTGGGTATTTACTCCATCCAGTTGCCACCTGAGTACGAGCGCTCCATCGAAGATCTTCAGCCCTCATGCAGCTTTGAGAAGATCACGGAAGCCTATCAGGGTGCAGTGAATGTGGCGGGTTTTGGCCGTCCCATCGAGGAGAACGCGCGCTTTTCTCGGTGCAGAGACCTCGTAAGACAGCTACCTCACACTGAACACGGCAGGTATTTCTTGCACACGTACATTCAGCTTGATGAATAACCCCCAATTGAATTGGAAGATCCTCTTCATATGGGGGCTTATGGTCCTCAAGAATCGGATCTCATCGATTCGTTGCCGTCGTCGCGACCGACTCGTGTTCTGTGGTGACCCATCGGTTGCCTCCAACCGCTGCACCGTATACCGGTGTTCACCTAGGGTGTTCACCATTCGAAGTAAGCTGCCTAGAAAAAGGCATGTGTTTTTTCCGTGGGGTGGTGGCGAACTCCTTATGCCTCTTTTCTTTTTTAGTGATGTTTCCTGGGAATTGGAAGTGAATTCCTTACAAGTACAAACCATCGTGCCTCCTTTCCAGGAAAACATTGAGAAGCCTTTGCCATGCTTCAAAGGCTACAGTCCCCGGAGCTTTCTATCCTTGCTGGCCCTACGCTTCGACACTGGCTACCCTGTAGGAGAACTGAGCACGCGAGTTGAGGACCCCTACGTGGATGTGAAGGCTCATGCCGTCGATGCCACCTGCGCCTTCGCCTTTGGCATCCAATACCTCCTTCGACAGGGCCACAGCGTGGAGCAGATTCAGAGGAGAGATCCAGAGGTCTACAGGAAGTTTTCCGAGTACCTCCGAACGGAATTGGACTTCGAGGGGACTTCTGGGCAAGTGAAGTTCGAAGGCAATGACCGGAAGAACTTGCAAGTGGTGCAGCAAGTGGTCAACGGTGTCATTCTGGACATGGGCCTGATTAGTGAGAATGGCACTAGCATCACGTGGATTAGCAATGGCACTACAAATCTATATTGGCAAGATGAGCCTGCTGAGGCCTTGGAACTCATGTGGATCCTTCACCCGCTCGCCATGATCTTCGCTATTGGCTGCCCGTGTCTTTGTGGATGTGTACTTGGATACAGCATTAGAGCTGTGATGCAGAAGAGGAGCAATGCTCAGTGATGGAGGACTGACCAACCGCGACACTTCTAGAAGGAATCATACTCATATGGGAGTTGATCTAAAGGGGCATACAAGGGGTTTTATATGAAACGGTCTTTAGATGCTGTCTAATGGACTCCAAACCATCCACGAAAAATCCACATTTTTTTGTTCGCGAAAGTATTTTGTTTTTGAACAACTTCATGTTATTTGATGTTCATATGATTCCTTTCTACCGCCAGAATGGTAGAAATACACGGCAATTCTCCGGCAGAGCCCGTGGGCAGAAGTGTACCCACATGTCCCCCTGTCACAGACCAACGAACTGCGGTTCCTGTCGCCACTGTCACAGACTCGACTATATAACATTGTGGACAACTCGACTTGTCCTTGCAGAGCCCTGACAGTGCGTACAGGATTGTCTTTCCCCAAGTTGACTCACAAACTGCAACTGCATCACCTTGCGCAGCCTCGACAGTGAGTCAACGGCCCGCAGCTCTGACAGGTTGTGCAGATGTTTCCGCACGATATGCCTTTGAGTTTCGCAAAATATCTGCGAATGCGATCTTTTTTCCACAAAGAATGGCGATTCCATCATAAAAGAATATGGATCAACCAACAGCATACTATAGTTTTGTGAAGTTTGTGAACCAATAAACTGTGTCATTTATATCATCTCTCAAGAGGTCCCTAAATATATATACTTTGATTGAGTCCAAGGCTTTGTTTTTTGAAAGCGAAGGTTCACCTTTCTATATATCTTTTTTTGTTAGAAGAACATTGTCGTGCATCGTGCCCAGACAGTTCAGTTGCATGCATTGAACAAGATGTCGGACATTCTGCTGTTTGATGTTCGTTTTAGTCGTTCTCCTCGCTGTGGTTGCTGCTTTTGGTGAGTGAAAAGGTGTAAGGGTACGTGCGCCCGGATTCTCGGCAGGACCCCATGGGCTGAATCACCGAATGTGGATCCATTTGATGGTCGCATGCTGCTTTCTCCGATCCGTTTTGAACGGTCACGAATTCGTTTCCTGGAGAATATCGAATCTAGGTATATCCTGGAGACTCAATGGGCTGTGGGTCAGAACTGTAGGGACAACTTATTGACGTCAGAAAGTGAAGAGAATAGACTGCCAAAATTGCAACTGATTTCAACCTGCTGTTTTGCCCAGACAAACAGTTCAAATTAAATGCCTCTAAACTTTTACACTTGCACGCCCACCCCTCTCCACTCCACAAGCGGAGTAAAGGGAGGTGACCCATGTGAGCCGTTTCTGGACGTTTCTGGGCCGTCAGAAGAGTCGGAACGATTTTGGGTCGGAATGAAATAGAGGAAGTCCAACCTTTTGTGACTTTGAAACCAGGAAATTGGTGTGACACATGTGGCCCAGAGTGCCCCCTTTTTTCGCCCGCCCTGCGGGCGCCCCATGTAGATAGCATCACCCATCACCCGAAAAATAGGTAAACATCAATCAGCAGTCTTGGCAGATGCTCACATGGTGCTTGTCACCCACCCGCATCCCGCTCTGGACTCTAACACAGCAGAGCAGAGGTGCGTGATTCCCGTGGTCCTTTCGCATCCTTTTTAGTTTTTCATGTCTCCATGCGCGACCACACTGTTCAATCAGCATTGCTGAGCAATAGTCGTTGGAAGACAGGTCGTCCAGCTGGAAAACATGATTGTGAGCAGGGTGGTGGTTTGTGGCTGTTGGTGTTGTTGCTGTTGCTGTTGCTGCTGTTGCAGCTGTAGCTGCTGTTGCAGCTGTAGCAGCTGTAGCAGCTGTAGCTGCTGTTGCAGCTGTAGCAGCTGTAGCTGCTCTAGCTGCTGCTGCTGGTGTTGTTGTTGTTGTTGTTGTTGTTGTGGTTGTCGTTGTCGTTGTCGTTGTGGTTGTGGTTGTTGTTGTTGTTGTTGTCGTTGTCGTCGTCGTCGTCAGACTTTGCCATGGATGGCGCGTTTGCGCATCGGACTCAACACTCCACATCCGCCGCTGTGCTCGGCCGATGGGCTCGTTCAGGTGTCATCCTGGCTGCCTCAGCCCAGAACTTCAGGAGCTTTCGGAGGCCCATTTTTGCCAGCTCCCCGCCAGCACGCAGCAGGCGAGGGCTGAGGGTCATTCAAATTCGGGCACGAGACCCGCACGACCCACCGAGAGATGTTTTTCGCTTGCGTCTCGTCTGCGGCCGACACGAAGTGACACGCGAAAGACTCGGCTCGTGGCGGAGGCCGTACAAAGCCCAAGAACTTGGACGGTCTATGCCTGGGACCTGGACAGCCTCACCAGCGGCCTGGACGAAAGTGCCTGGACGGCACTGGCTGGGCATCGTGTGAAACTCACGGGGGCGGCGACGTGCGGTTCTTGGCGGGGCCTGGCGATGTTAAAAAAAAAACTGAAGGAGTTGTTTCATTTGTGTTCCCCGCTCAGGGCGGGGATGCCGCCATTTTTCAGAAATGTGGATGCGCCTTTTGCTCTGTCAGCGATTCCTATTGCATTTGATTCTCGAACGGAACGCTTCCATTTGGTTCCCATCGGTTCCCATCGTTCTTCCTGACAGTCCGTCCTGGTGCGGCCAGCACACCACCTACACTTGGACTCGAGGTGGGCAAGGGCGGTCCACCATGGGTGTCAACCCGAAGAATGAACTCTGTCTTAAGAAAAGGCCTTGGAATCAATCAAAGCGTATGTATTTAGCAACCTCTATATAGAGAGATGATATATGCAGTAAACGATTCACAAAACTGTAATAGAAATCTCGTTTGATGGGGCTCAAAAGCAACGCGTCAGAACTGAGACCCTTGCGACGTGTTATGTCGTTGTTGCGAGTTGTTCGAAAGAAGGGCGCGCTGTCGTTGTTCAAGTGAAGCAAGGTGAACAAATTGGAGATGTGGGAGTTGATCCAAGGGTCCATGTCTGCTTGTTCTACACAAAGATGACAGTGTGCAGTGGAGGAAGTCTTGATCAACCTGCATGTTTTGTTCTTCATGTGCTACCATGTAGCAGAACTGATCTTTGGGAATGGGTCAAACGTCCATGGTCAAACGTCCATGGTCACACAAACCAGTCCACCAGCGAGCTTGACCTCAGTCCACCCACCTCCAGCACCTCATTTCGCTCCAGGATGACCCACGTCCGGCTCCGGATGCTTTGGCCTTTGTCCGACTTCCAAAGGAGCTGAAAGAAGCTTTAAAGGCGACGTTCCGGGCGACGTTCCGGGCTGCAGCTGATTCCGGAAAATCTCGTCATGCAAGCTGTCAAGCTCGTCATGCAAGCTGAGAAACAACGGCAGATGCCACGTGCATTTGCAGTGTGTTCTTCTTTTCTAGTGTTGGACAATGTGCCAGTTCTTTGAACACATTCTTTCAACCAGTTCTTCACGTTCTTTTCCATTGATTTGTTTTCTTGATTCTTTCTTCCAAACCACCTTGGAAAGAAGCATCAAGAAACATCATGGCCCCCACTGCCCCGTGAAATTCGCCGCTTTTGCAGGTCTTGGGTCGGCCTGGTGCCCTTTGGCCTGAGCAGCTCTGCAAGGAACTGCGCAAGCAAGCCATGAAGCGCTGTGGCCCCGAGGAGACGAACTGAACAGCGGCCAGCGGCTGGTTGCATCAAGGAACGTCAGGAAAAGAGGATGAAAGGATGCATGTGTTTCAAAAGATGGTTCATCCTTTCTCTAGCTGCTAGCTTTCCCCCAGATGCAACAAACAGATACAATGAAGCAATCAAAGAATGATAATCACATATAATCACAGAGTTTTGTATTGATGAACTATTGGCCACTTCAAGGAACTGTTGTAAGTTACAAGAAATTTACAGTATATTTATTGAGCACCAGGGAGAAGTCAAACACCGTGGGGTGGCTGGACCCTAGACAAATTCGATGTGGGATTTGAGTGGGGATGAGCCGGCTTCTGCCTCGAAATTATTCAATTGGTATGCCAAGGATGCCAAACTACATTGTTGTTTTGGTTTCAAGACTGGTGGTTCACTTCAATGTGTGATGCGAGTTGCGCTACGCTTTGTTTCAAGCATCACCGACACAACATAACCGTATGTTTGCAACAGATAACTCTAAATTGATTTCCAGTAGGACAACAAGTAAACGGAGCCAGTTACTCACCTCCCAGGAGGCCGCGCTTCTTCAGAAGTTACAAAGGTGCCAGGGGCCCTAGATGACTCAAGAATTGATTCTTCTTAAGATAGACATGCCCTCAAAATGGTGCAATGGGTTGGTTGTCAAAATTCAAAGCTTTGTGGTCCCCTGATTTGGAGACAAAGATCGAAGAATGTTTGCTTTCAGGGGTGGTGGGTTGTTTAATTTTCTTGCGAAGCATGGTAGGGTTTCAGGTCTCCTGGCTGTTCTAGTGGATAGTGGGCAAAGGTTCTTTGGGTGTCAAATGTGGAAATCTTCTGTCGAACTGTGTAGACATCTTCTGCCAAGAAACGAACATGTTTCGAGAGAGTCAAGGCCCGGAGGCCTGCGCGCGTGTTTCTTCTCATTGGCCCCTCCAAAAAGGGGGGCCCTTCGGCGGCGGGCGGCCGCTGAACGCAGTGAACCAGTGAACGCAGATGCGCGGTTTTCTCTTGTTCCGAAGAAACAGCTCGCAAAAAAAGACACCAAGGTGTACAGCTGGCCACGGAGTACACCTTGAAGAGGGGATTCTATGAGGTGCTGTCTGCTGCTTTTGCACGCTACTTTTGGGCGCCGTTGCGGATTTGTCCCGGCAAAACCCATGCAACATCCATGCATCTGTGTTTCTTTTTTCAGCAGGTGAAATCAGACGGTCGCTGGGCTGGAGTGCGTCCGTTGCATCCCTGATTGACTGGCAGGTGGAAGGAGAGATGCCAGGGTACCAAAAGGTCTACATGGAAGACGTCCTGTCGCCGTCCTTGAAGGCGCCGCTGTCCAAACGAGCGCGGATTGCCAGCCACGGGTTGGTAGGGGGGTGAGCAACGCCTTTCCTCTTAGATGGAAATGAAAAGGCAAGGTTCTGTAGACGGAACCAAGCCTTTTCACAAGCCCAGAAACCCTTCTCTTCAGCAGAAGTGACACGAAGTGACACGAAGATCCAAACACGTGACATTCGCATGTTGGAACATGTTGCGGGGCGGTCACCACCGGAACACGCAAAACGTCCGATTCCGTCTCGAGGATTGGAGCCGCTCAGAAATTGTCGGTCACATGGGCGCGCGTGGCCGCCACGGTCCTCGTGCAGGTGCGCTGGTTTGGCCCAGGCAATACACAACTTCCGGAGACGAAGGTGGACATCGGCAAGGTGGCACGATGGAAAGACACGAGTTGCCGCAGGAAATGTCTTAGTGTTCGGACGCGAATTTGGGGTCTTCGCATGCTTCGAAACAGATTCAACTAAGGGATGCCCAAAGAGAATCGATCGAGCTCTGCACGCCACCAGCCTCTACCAAGGCCCTGCCTCCACCACTCATTGTCTCTGATGCGTCCTGCCTGGACGTGGTGGAGCGCTTGCGAAGGCGAAGCGAAGCCCCCCCTTCAGCCCATCGCTTTCAGGTCTCCAGGTCTCGTGTCCACATGGCCCGTTGTGTCCACTGTTTCTGCAGGGTGAGAAGAAGAGACACAAAGCACTCAAGCCTTCATAAGACGTCCATTTGTTTTGGGGGGTTGTGGTATGTTGTGGTTGTTTGCCAGGCGACACGCACGAAACTCTTGAAACGCGCACACGGTCTAAAACTGAGCAGGTGAGGCTTCGACATACAAGCAGTGGGCGTCACAAAAACTGTGCGTTGCGTAAGGTTGCGTAATTTATGGTTGACATTGCAGTGTGCATGAGCACGATTATGCTGGACCGAAGTCTTTTGCAAGGTAAATCGAAATGTTCTTTGCCGTTGTTCCAGTGAAGCTATCTTTTCATCTCATTCCATCTCATCAATCTCATGTTTGTTGGAGAAAAATCACGTGAACATGTGCTGACCCCGAGCAGAAGCATCCCAGTCCACGCCATCCTTTGGTTGCTCCTTTTCCGCCTCTTCCGCGACAGCTTGGAGAGCGAGAACACGCCTGGGCGTGCCTCGCGGGAGATCTTCGTCGTGACCGAGCTTTTCGACTTCGACCCTGAAGGCACCGGGGAAGTGC